TTTCAAAGAAGAAACTCTCACCCCTTTCTTGATGTCTTCCCTTTCTAGAATCTTCTCGAGCTGTGGCTTTTCAGAATCCCCTGGCTGACCGTGGTGTCAGAATAATAAGCAAGCATCACTTTTCATCTCTAGTCAGTGAAACACGTTATCAGGCCTCACCTCTGAAGATTTCAACCTTCTGCCTTGTTCACCAAGATTTGAACTCCTGGTCTTAAAAGAATAGCTCACTTTTTTCCTTTTAATCATTAGATCTAATTTCTTTGAGAAAATGTAAGTCTACCCAAAAACTGAACAGAAAGTGCGGAGTTCCTACAAACCCCCTCATTCCCCCCATTCACCCCAAACCCTGCTGAGCTGCCTTGGCTCCCCTGCCAGAGACAGGGTGAGTATTTCGTGTGTCTGTTTCTGGTCTGTCAAGTCTTATAGTTCTATTTGTCTGTTGTTGTTGTTGCATGTGTGTGTGTGTGTGTGTGTGTGTGTGTGTGTGTGTGTGTGTGTGTATGTGTTTTGTTGTTGTTTTGGTTTGGTTTTTATTATTTTTGTTTGTTTGTTTGTTTTGCCAACACCACACTGTCTTGATAACTATAGCTTTATAGCAGGTCCTGGTCAGGTAGTGTCACTCTTTCGAATCTGCTCATCTTCCCTTGTGGTCTCTGTTCTGGTCTTTACTGAGTTGATTTTAGGACTAGCTTGGTAATAACTACAAAGTAAGTTGTCAGGGGTTTTATTAAGCTACACTGAATCTACAGACCAGCTGGGTAGAAGAACTGACTTCTTAATAGTGGTGGATTTTCCTGTGCATTAATGTGAAGCACCTCTCAACTTCTTTAGGTTTCCTTACAGTTTCCTTTCATCAGCAGAATTTTGTAGTTTGCCTCCTGTAAGTCATGTTTTGTTACACTTATTCTCAGGCATAGCTCCTTGTTTAGTGCCAGTATAAATGATACTACTTTAAACTTAAATCTAATTGCTTATTTTTCTATGCATGGAAGAGATTGATTCATATATTAAACATATTCTGTAACCTTGTTATAGTGGCTAATTTGTTTCGGGAGTCTTTATATATGTGTGTGCTCAAGTGTGTGTGTATGTGTGGTGTGTGTGTGTGTGTATGTGTTTGTGTGCATGTGCCCACCTATGCATGCATGTGTGGAGCGCAGGGTAGACACAGGAGTCTTTCCATCGTTTTTTTTTTTTTGTAATTTTGAGACAAGAACTCTCACCGAGTCCAGAGGTCTTTATCCATCTAGGCTAGTTGGCCAGCGAGACCCCAGGACCTGATATATGGGCTTCCCCTTACCTAGGGTTACAGGAGTGCAGCACTTCGCCTGGCCTGGCTCTTACCTTGGTTCTGGAGATCCAAACCCAGGTCCCAATGCTTGCACGGCAAACACTTTATCCACTAAGTCACATCCCAGCCTGGTATTCTACTTTAAAAACTTTCGTGGTTGCCTTGGAGTTTGCAACACACATTTATGACTAATCCAGGTCCACTTCCAAATATTATCCCGCCTCACTGGTAATGCAAGCAGCTTATACCAGTCTCCCGTTCCTCCCTTCCATCCACTTCCACAACAGTGTCCCTCATCCACTCTTCCATAAGCAAGAAGCCAGAGGACTTCTCCCTGCTAGTTTTCTGAACAAAGCGTTCCGTGTTACAGCAATTAAAGGTAAGAAAAAAATGAAGCGTTTTCTTTTTCTTGCCTTGGTTCCTTTTTTCTTTTTACGAGGTTTCAAGTTTCTGTTCCACGCTCTTTTCAAGATCTTTCAACGTTTCTTACAGGGCAGGGCAGGGGCAGCAGCTCGCCTTAGTTTTGCTTGCCTGAGAAAATCTACTGGACTTCGTTTTGAAGAAAGGAAGGTACTTTGACTCTCCTATACTTTTGAAGGATAATTTCACCAAGCATAGGGTTTTGGATTGGTGGGAGGTGTATTTTTTCCTTCCGACGTTTTAAATACTCCATCTCACTGTCTTCTTGCTAGAAGGGCTTTGACGAAAAGGTTGATGCAGCCCCTGTAGAGGCAGGCTGTTTTCTCTCACATCCCTTGATTCCCAGCGTTTTCTTTCTAGCTCACCTTCTTTTGATTCTCCAGTTTAAACACACTATTCCTGGGCGCTAAATTTTCTTCCATTTTTATGGTTGATTTCTCTGAGATTCCGGCATCTATGGCTTGATTTTTGTCACAAGGTTTTGAAAATTCTGAGTTTCCAATATCCCTCTTCTCCTGTTCCAGCTTGGTTTCATATTTTGTCATTGTCTTATGCCCAGTTGTTGGGAAATGTTCCCCCACCACCACCTCTTTTGGCATAGCATTTCAGTTCTACAAGTTTGTATTAATATATCTTCAAACTCGTGAATTCCTTTATTTATTATTATTTTTTTTTTTGCTGGGTCCAGTCTATGGATGAGGCCAACACAGGCATTCTGTTTTCATTTCCAGTACTTACAGTAATGCTTAAGCCTTCTAAACTGTGCTTGCATTACTCAAGTGATATTGTCCATATTTTCCATTACAGTCCTCAATGTATTAACCGGTTATTTTAAATTTCTGGTCTCTTCTACATTTAAGTCTGATTCTGATGTTTAGATTGTCATTCCAGACCATGGCTGGTGTGTGTGTGTGTGTGTGTGTGTGTGTGTGTGTGTGTGTGTGTGTGCGTGCGCGCGCGCGCGCGCGCGCGCGCGCATGTGGAGGATGCACATGCAAGGGTGTACATGTGGTTGTAGAGGCCACAGGTTGGCATTAGCTGTCTCCTTCAGGTGCTCTCTACCTTATTTTTTGAGACAGGGTCTCTCATCATTTTGGCTACACTTGCTAGTCAGTGAGCCCCAAGACTCCTCCTGTCTCCACCTTCCAGCACTGGGATTACAGAAGCATGCTACTCTGCATGGGCTGTGGGATTGAACACAACCCCACATGTTTGAGCCATGAGCACTTTATCAACCAAGCTATCTGACCAACCCCTTCCCCCTTTTTCCTCTTTTTGCCTTGGCACTTCTTGTTTTAAAACAGATGTGTTATATTAGGAAGGTAGTAGACAGGCCTAGAGTTTACAGTTTCGATCTAAGAGTTAGGCTATTACTATTTGTTGTAATAAACAGAGGTTAAATTAATTTCCCCTAGTATCTATGTTTTCACTTGCCATGTTGTCTTTGGGTGTCCTTAAGCACTCCCACAATAGGGTGAGAGGCTTGGGTTCCTTTTCCGTGCCCTGCCCTGCTGTTATCCAGCACTCTGATGAGGTGGTACGGTAGGGGTAGGGCAGCGGTCTGTAGTCCTCTGACTTGGTCTCAGACCTGTTGTTATCGGAGCTGAGTATCTCCCTTCTCCCGCGTGCAATGTGAGAACTGGCTGGAAGTGGTGTTTCCACTGGAAGTTTGCTTAGATTGGTTCGACTTTGGTAGACCCCACTTGGTAAGGCACCTCCCTCTGCCTTCATACTGCATATATTCCATTGCTCTCTCTTGTTCCCCTCCAGGCTCCTTAGAGACTCACTTTAAATCTCTTTCTTCTCTCTCCTAGTCTAAGGACATTTTTGAAGGCGCGCGCACACACACACACACACACACACACACACACACACACACACACACACCATACGTGAGTGCATGCATGCCCCTTTGACAAAGCGAAAGAATATTTATTGCTCTCAGGTTTTCATAGCAGGATCTGGTTGTGTTCCCAGAGGGCAACTCGGCCAAGTTAAAACAGTAAAGCTCAAGGAAAGTCCATAGGCGAGAGCATCTGGGAGTCTTCTCAAGTTGCTTTACACTGAGCCCGGACGATTCCTGGAGTACAGTTTCCAGTACTCTGCTGATACATCTCTGGCCGTGGGACTGGCTCGGCTCCAGGTAAACTGTGATCTCCTGGTGTGCTGAATAGTTTTATGTCAACTTGACCCAAGCTAAAGTCATCAGAGTGGAGAGAAACTCAATTAAGAAAATGCCTTCATAAGATCGACCTGTAGGCAAGCCTGTAAGGCATTTTCTTTATTAGTGACTGATGGGAGAGGCCCCAGTCCACTGTGGGTGGTGCCATCCCTGGGCTGGTGGTCCTGGGTTCTCTAAGAAAGCAGGCTGAGCAAGCCATGGGAGCAAACCTGGAAGCAGCACCCCTCCATGGCCTCTGCATCAGCTCCTGCCTCCAGGTTCCTGACCTGCTTAGTTCCTGTCCTGACTTCCTTCAAAGATGAGCACTGGTTTGGAAGCATAGGCCAATTAAACCCTTCCTCCCCAAGTTGCTTTGATCATGGTGTTTCATGACAACAGTGATAACCCTAGCTAGGACAGCTGACGAGCTGTGATTGTGTCTGTCTGTCTCCCTAACTTTTGGGACAGCAGTTCCTCTGTGACTTTCATCCTGATTAGATAATTGTGAATTTCAATTTGATTGGCTTTTTTTCCTTGTCATAGAGATGGAAATGAATGTTTGTGGGGTTTGTCTTTTGTTGTTGTTTGGTTTTGGTGGTACTGAATATTAAACCCAGGACATGCTAGGCAAGAGCTCTACCCCTAGTTACACCCTCCACAAAGGGTCCTATGCTCTTTTCTTTCCTTTTTTTGGGGGGTGGGGGGAGTGTGGGGTAGGGTGGAGTGGGTTTTGAGACAGAGTTTCTCTGGCTGTCCTGGAACTTGCTGGAACTCACAGAGATCCACCTGCCTCTGCCTCCAGAGTGCTACAATTAAAGGCCCGTACCACCACTGCCTGGCTCCCTGTGCTCTGAGAGAGAGAGAGAGAGAGAGAGAGAGAGAGAGAGAGAGAGAGAGAGAGAGAGAGAGAACAGGAAACCCCTTAGCATTCCTTTGTGAATTCTCTCTTTAAGCAGCCTATCTGGCTATTCAGATAGTGAAAAGCACTTGCTGTACAAACCCAGGGGCCTGAGCTCCATCTCTGGATGGAGAGAAAGAAGTGGTTCCTGAAAGTGTTCCTCCGACCTCCCTGAGTGCCACCACCTGAGTTAGAAAGTGCTACTTTCAAATGTCCTGTTTGTATTTTCCATAGATGCAGACAATATACATCTTTACTTTGATTTTTGTAAAGAAAAAAAATATTTAATGCCTCAATTTTCTAAACACATTCCTTCCAAATCATATTCTTTTATCGTTGTTATTCTGGTCATACATACATAGAAGAAGGAGAAGAGGAGGAAGAGTAGCAGGGGAGGTGGGGGAGAGGAAGAGGGGGGGAGAGAAGGGACCAGTGACAGCAAAGGACAGTGCTAAGCCAGGCTCACTTGTTAGTGCTCATCCTCCCTACACAGTTGGATGCAGTTTAAACCATGTACAGCTGGTGTACTTCACTCTCAAAGGGCTCATTGCTCCATATTTTTTTTTTGTAGCAATTTAAATTCAAGTTTTACTCTGACTCCTTGTGAATCACTGCAAATTGGGTTAAAGGTCAACGAAGTCATTTTGCAACGTTCTTTTAAAGTCCTTAGGAAGTTCTGCAAAGTGAGTTGGAGTGGACCTTGGACACTGCTGAAGATTATGAAGTGATGAAATAGGATTGCTCACCCACATGTACTTATTTGGTAGTAACCTGAATGCATGTGTTAATAGGGAGTTTATAAGAAGAGTGATTTTTAGTCTTATTCAGTAAGAAAACTTGCCTTTTAGGGGTCTGTTGTGAGCAGGATTATCTGAATCAGGAGATAGTATTTGGCATCTCTGTAACTGTGATAAAACAACTTGGCTAAATATTGCTGCTCTCCATGTTTGTGTCTATTCATAATCACACACAGAATATCATATTTTATACAGTTTTACACAGAAAAATGGAAGCTTGAGGAAATTGTAATATATATTCAAAAATATCTTGTTCACTGAATTATCATTCTGTTTAACTTTTTTAAATAATAACTTTAAGACATTTAAGTGAGTTAGACCTGCTGTTATACAGTATTCATATTTTTATTTTAAAAACATTATATTCAGGCCGGGTGGTGGTGGCACACGCCTTTAATCCCAGCACTCAGGAGGCAGAGCCAGGCGGATCGCTGTGAGTTCGAGGCCAGCCTGGGCTACCAAGTGAGCTCCAGGAAAGGCACAAAACTACACAGAGAAAGCCTGTCTCCGGGGAAAAACAAAAAAACAAAAAAAACAAAAAAACATTATATTCTACAGCTCTGATTCCTGGCCAGAGAGAATTGCTTAAGAGTTATAAGAAAGGAAATGATTGAGGATTTCAGGAACTGCCATTTATGCAGATGGAAACACTCTGGGAAGTCATGATGTCAGAACAAAAGAGTCTAGAAGCATTTCCACTAACATAATTGGCGTTTTTGAATAGTTGAGACTGGTTAAGGTACAGAAGCCCAACTAATTGCTGCTAGAAGACACATGGATTTGGAGATAATAAACACAAGACCACCAGCATTTATTGATGGCTTCCTATTGCCATATATTGTTTCAAGTGCTTTATGTGTGTGATGATCATCCATAATTTTGTAGCATAAATACTATCTTCTCCATTTTACAAGAGAATAAACTGGGGCACAAAGAAGTTAACTGATTGTGAGTCCTGGTGCTTATAACCAAGCTCACTCTGAATTCTGGGGCCATTGTTTTTAACACTATTTTTTTTAGAGTGTTTCAATAAAAAAAATGTTTTCATGGTTAAAAACAAAAGGAAGACAAGTTATTATTTTTGCTCTTTTCCTCTTTTCAGATACGTCCTGTAGCTTTTTTTGGAGGTACATAATGTTCTAGATTTCAAACAAAAATAGCATTAAAATCAATCTACATAGTCCTAGCTTGCCTTCTGAAGCCGGGGTCTTGTGCTTGCTGGACAACTGCTCTACTACTGAGCTGTAATCATCTCTTCATGAGTCGATTGAGATGCTTTATGCATTGTTCATTGTCTTATTAGACTTGGACATTCTGTATATTTATAGAGGGCACTGTCTCTAGATTTGAAGGTAATTTAAATCTACCACAGATATCTACATAATATCCAACCCAAAGTCGGATTGTAACAATGTATTAATAAGGTAAAGATCGGATATTAAATAGTTTAGTGTCAGGTAGAGTCGAAAGCCGAGGCCCCAGATCCAGGCGCAGCTGTACCCGCAACACCTGCGTGTGTGCGAGTGCGTGCGTGTGTGCGTGTGTGCGTGTGTGTGTGTGTGTGTGTGTGTGTGTGTGTGTGTGTGTGTGTGTATGCGTGTGCGTGAAGTGTTTCTTGTTGGGCTTAGAATACATAAAACAACAACAACCCAAACTGACAGGCTCAGCGTTTACGCTTCCAAAGCCTGACCCAAACTGATCATTTTACTCCCTAGCTCCCTGCATGGCAGGTGGGCAGCCCTCTGCTGGGGTCTGCAGGTTAGGGGGACTGACTCGTCATTCCTTCTTTATGTCTAAACGGTGACCCCAACTCAAATGATCCTTGCACCTTTTCTGTGCCCATTTAAGATGATCTTTGTCTCTTTTAAAAGCAACATGGAAGCAAAATAAGTCTCTCAGCGCCTTTTCCCTTCTTTGACTCAAATTCAGGCTTATGCTTTCACTTCTTGTATTTATTTGTAAACGCCGAAGACAATTTGTTTGAAGACGGCCCTGCAACTTCACTTCCCTTGAGAGGTTCTGCAAGAAGCATTTGTTTTCTATCTTTATTTGCCTTTGCTCAGCCATCAAACTTGGGCCCAGAAAAACCTTAACGACATGGAGGCTTCCCTTGTTCTGTGGCAGAGCGCAGAGACCTCCGGGTCACCTGGGAAGGAGGGACCCCAGTCTCACACAGGGGGGCTGGCTGCCACGACGCCAAGTGGCTTTTTTTTTTTGCAACTGGAAACTCAGCAGGGCTGGGCGGCAACCGGGTCCAGCCCCGGCAGCCGAGGCGTGAGCCAGCCTCAGCTTACTCCAGACAGCAGGGCGGTGGGAGGCGGGCTCGGACCCCGGCAGGCAGCCCAGCTCTCTCCAGCAGCGCCTCCCGAAGCCAGAGCTGCGCCCGTAGAAAGCGGCGCGTCCCCAGGCCCGGGCTCAGCCGCACCCCTCGCCCCCTTTCTCTCCCCCCCCCCTCCCCAGCCGCACACAGACAAGCACGTGAGCGGGGCCAGCGCGTCCCAGCTGGGGCTCAGCTGACCGCCTCCTGATTGGCTGAGAGCAACGTGGGCTGGGGTGGGGCCTGGCCGCCTGCGTCGCTCGCCATTGGCCCTCGGGGA